CAGGTTTTCGGTTCCGAAACTATTTTCTTAGGTTATTATTGAAAAAATAAGGGGACTTTTTTCGTTACAAAAAATTGGCCGTTTCAAATACTGATACAAAAAATATTAAGGGTGTGTTCGTTTGTAGAATTCTAACAAAATTCTACTATTCATCCAATTTTTTCCCACGAAAAACATCAAATCAAACACCTATTTTTCATTTTTTATATTATACTAAAAATCAATTTTACATTCAAAACATCACATCATCACCTATTTATATCACATCATACAACTATTCAAATTCAAAATTTTTACCATTCAAATTCCAACTGAAAATCCAAACCCCCAAACAAACACATCCTAAATAAGTTACTGAAAACCAACTATTGTAACGAAATTATTACTGCAACAAAAGCCGTTACAAGTGGATGGACACTTATTGTAACGATTCTTTTATAACAGTAAATGTTCGTTACAAATAAATCGACAGTACAGTGATAGCGTTACAAACACTGTTACAATAAATGCGTTGACCGCCCTTTTTTTGTTGCAGAAAAAGTCGGTCCATAGAATTTTTGTAACTCGAGTATATGCACCGGTCAAAATCCGGTACAAAATCGTTACAAATAGCTATTTGTACAAAAAAATGGCCATTTGTAGCGGTTATTGAACCGCTACAAATGACCAATTTTTTTTTTGTAGTGAATACATATTAGTATTCAATATTCATATGCTTAATTAAAATTAGAGCTGTTGCCTATGATGTATTAGGGTTTGGTTTTAATTTTAATGTTTTGCAATTTTTATAAAAATATTTTATTTTATTTAATAAAAAATATCACATTTAAATTACTATCCACGTTTAAATATAAAATGAAATTCCAAGATAATACATGTCACATTGTGACAAAAATATATGAAATTATTTAAAATTTAAAGTATTTATAGAAAAAATTATTTTGAAATAATTTTATTTACAAAAAATCCTAAAAGGTACTCATTTTTTTTTTCTTTTGATTTCTAAGGATGTATTTGCACTACCAAAAAAACTGTTTTCTATTACGGCCGGAAAATCGTAACAAGAAGCCATATTTCGTGCAATTTGCGTATTTGCTACGCCTTTGTTACGACTTTTTTCCGTAATGTGTACTCGCGTAACGAATGTTTTTTGCCACGCCACTTTTCGTAACTATTACGATCGGTCAACGCTCCCTGAAGTATGGTATTTGTTACGATGTTTGTTACGAATTTTCTCTCGTAACGAAAGGTAGATCCTTCGGCGCGTGTGGCAGGACTTTTAGTTACGGTATTTGTTACGGAAGTTCCTCGCGTTACAAGTGTTTTCCATTGACCGGTTGTCAGAACTTGGTTTTTGTTACGACTATTTGTAACGGCATTGAACCCCGTAAAAAAAATATTACCTACTTATAGTCACGAAACCGTCTGTAACAACAAATATCCAAAGACCACTTTTTGTAACGATTTTCTGGCCTTTTGTTACGGAAAAATAGCGTATTGTGAAAAACAGGGGGTACGCTGCAATTGAAATTGTTCGTAAAAAATGGACCTGCTGTGATGCGTATGATACGAAAATAAATTACGAATACAAAGATTGCTATAAACATCATCATCATTACGCCCCGCGCAAACATTAATTCATATTAAAATCTGAATTCCATACCTACCAACAAAGTAAAGCAACCCATAGAACAAGCCTACTAGTATCTACACATCAACAACCTGTTCCGCAAAACGTGCTTAACAGTTCAAACACAAGTAAACAACGCAATAAGCAAATACGGTTATCCATCAATCCCATTAGGCACATTTTTCACCATACGAATTCAAACCACAAAGGTCTACGCATCAATTCCAGACATAGTTCAACAAAAACTCAACACAATCCATCCAAAGACAGGTTCGACATTCAATCCATATGACAAACGGGGCAATTAACATGGGTGTATCGGTACCAACATTTCAAGCCCGGCGCATGAGCTGCAATTGCCAACACAGAGATTACTTTAAGTCATACTTCTTATAAATTTCGGAAGGCAATACAAGAAAGGTATTAAAGTAGATCCTTACGTCCTTGTAGCTCCACTCAATAGGATCTTCGCCGACAACATCGCGAAGGGTAGTCGCCCCAGAAATGGTCGGCAAAATAAGGGGTGTGTCCGGGACTGACGCGGATGTCACGAAGACCTTGACCAAGGAAAGTGTGTCACCTACAGCATTCACAAGAGCAATTTTTGATTACATTCAAGCATATATATCAACAGACGTTCGAACTGTATATATAACATGTCATAACACAGACATTATAAGTGTAATACTTTGGAACTAGAACAAGAGGAGTACGTACATTCAGACATGTCGTACAGTACATGGTATTACATTCATGAGTTAGGTAGCGAAGCACATTATACCCTAATTTCCTATGTAATTGCAGCTTGATCTTTAAACCAAACATCCTTCAATAAACATGGGTCGTCATAATAGCAGTTATTTTACCACCCCTACATTAACAGTCTACATCGCTTTGGAAATCCACGGATCGTATCATTGTATACTTCTACACTTAGTGAATCCATGCTAATACGAAATATGAGGCCTGAACAGTCACGAAAACCTACGATATCTCGCTGAGGCATATTAAAAGTTTAATTAAACATCCTCAAAGATACCGGACCAACCTGGCCCAGGGGGGCAGAGCAGAAGTCCCTCTGCAACAACTTTTTTCTCACCGGTGCGGGATAATAGAAGCACATGTGTGCCGACCTACAACAGACAGGGCATATGAGTTGGATAAGGTAGTACGCAGTCAAGAGTAGCCTAAATTAGACACTGCACTGATTTCTAAGAAACTCCAGGGCGTCACGGAATCATACCGTCATGCTTGGCTCGGACACAGGCCTGGGAATCTCAGGGACTGAATCAATACGAGATGTGCCCTATCATATAACATGCCGAGGATGGTAAATTCCTTCGCCATCCAAATCTCATGGGATACTCATACCAAACAGGTCAGGGATTATGAATACTTACTGCCTGGCCAGTAACCGCTCCGGAGTTTCTGTGCATGAATGCATACACATCAGCCTTGATGGTTTTGAACTCATCCATCATTGCCTTCAGCTCCTCCATTCCATTCTGTAGTTGTTCCCACCCATGCTGGAATGCTACACTGTCTGTTAAACCAGTTGACTCGCTGCGGGGATGAGCTGAACTTGCCGCACTGTCGACCTTTGACCGCTTCTTAATCTTTCCCCCAAGGGCCCGTCGGTACAGAGTCTCCCGAACAGAGGGAGTCCGCCCTTCAGGGGGAACCTTGTTTAGCTCATTCTGTAAATAAGTCTACAGGAAAGATTTAAGTGAGGCCGAACTTGCTCTTGTTGTTAGAGATGTAAATACTGACTGAATTGTAACTAAGTTGGGAACGAATTTATTCTACCAATATCTCCTCGGTTTCTTGGTCATCCTTTCCCTTGCCTTGTGTGCGACTGGAAATCCAAATCTCCAGATTGTCGGGGTCCTTCCCCTTTGCCTTGATCTGCAGCAATACAAGGCCTTCTGTCATCGAAAACATAATGAAATACAGGAGAGGAAAATATGGGGATGGAGCATGACATGACTAATTACTTAATTGTAATAAAAGGTACCTCCTCTGCCAGAGTCGTGAATGACTTCCGCCCAGTACGATGTGGAAAGCTTCTTTTCGCTACGTTCGACGCATTTTTCTTGGATTGAAGCTACGTCAATCAAAGTTATTTAGTTCTCAGTCCATGCCCGTGCAGATTTAACGTATATTAATTTGGCATGTCCCTATGCGTACCTTCACCTTCTCGTCGCGCCAATACTCAACCAACTTCGGCCACTGATCGGGCACAATCCTGCTTGAGGGAACCTTCTTCAGTGCTTCTTCATCGTCCTCGATCGGATTGAAGTAAGTTGATTTGATACTGTATTTCCAGTGCCTCCAAACTTCCCTTAGGTCAGCCAAGACCACTTTCTCCGCTGAGTCTGGTAATCCGCTGTTACTCTGGAATGCCGTTTCACACGGTTTCCACCAGGTCCGGAGAAGATGGTAGGGCCATATATAAGAATCTATATGAAATAAAAGAACTTTCAATTTAATGAAGTTTGCATCACCTGAACCTCCATCCATGCACCCTGTCTCTTCGTCTCCGGTATCTCAGCGAACGTGGGGTAATGTAGAGGAAGTCGAGCTCCGTTGCGTGCGATGACCCCAATGGCTGTCTTGTACTCGTTTACGTCGGGTCCGACGATGCTTTTACCATCCGGCGATGTGAATACAAGCATCCTGTGATCTTTTCCCCATCCACGCGGCATTCGTGCCGCCCCTCTCCCCTGCTTTTTCTTTGACGAACCAGCTGACACAAACAGGAGATTACATGTTCTAATAAGGATATTACATGCAAAATATGAAGTCACTAAATGTAATCGGTAATCTTTGAAGGCTAATTTCCAAACCGTCGTGCGATGTCATCTCGTCCAATGGTGCCATATTGCCCGCCTCTGTTCCTGTCATCAGAGTGGGGTCGGAGCCTGGCCCTTCATCCAAGAGTGGCATATCACTCTCTGCAGTCTCCATGTCCTGCGTCGGCGGAAGTGTCTCGTCATCTGCTTGTGTGGGGGGGATTGTATCATCGTCATCCTGTGTCAGTGCCGTCGGATCAAAAAGTGATGGAACATCCCTATCATCATGTTCCTGTTGGGGTTAACAGTGTCAGCCTATTGTAGTGTTATACTGAGAGTTCAAATAAGGACATGCTTTCGGCAAAGGAACCACATTACCTCCAAAGGGCCCTCTGAATCCTGAAGCACTGCCCTTCGAGTGGAAGATGTTGGCTTCATGCTTTGACCACGAGCATCGCGCTCTTTCTCCCACTCTGATGTGATGGACCGGAGTCGCTGGAGCAGTGGCGAGACCCGAGATCCCTTCCGTTTTGTCACTTTCTTTGTGGGATTGCGGATGGGCGATGGATTCTTGCTTGCGGGATGAGTTGCCTCTAGGGGGCTGTTACGTGCGGATGCCCGGGTAAAACGTCTTGCGGGAGAGACTGCCGGATCCTGTGACCCTCCAACGGCAGCACGTTGAGATTTGCCCATAACCTGCAAGACACCAGTGTTAGTTGGCAGTATGAAAACGTATATTAGGAGAAAATCAAAACACACTTATCACAACAAAGCTTATGAAGTGACATATTACGAGAAATTCACATAATAGTTTCTGCAATTAATCAGGGTAAATTGCTTCAGCATACGCAAACGGGGGTAAAGAGCTTATCCGCGTTGACATATTCGGAAAAAATCATAACATCCTGCGCGCGCATAATGGATGCAAAGTGCTTCAGCAAATCAAGCGAAAACAGGGCCTATGAACGATGGCATGCATGTCCGAAAGTGGTTACCTATTACGTACTTCAATCACCGACCCCCCCTCCCCACATAGATGACCATCTGTTGAGATGTGTAATTTATTCTGAACTGCGAACTCAAAAAGGTTGCGTGGTTGCCAAACCATCAAAAATGGGCCAATTAGGCTATATTCGCATACTACCAAAAATGCCCGCTTATTTGATTCTGCGCTAAGCACCATCATCTTCGGAGGATTCCTCCGAATCCGAAGGCGAAGTATCGGCATGGTCCATCTGCCCTGCATCTTCTACTACTTGCTCCTCAATACCTTCCCTTAGCCAGTAATCGGCTGCTCCTCTAACATTGCCTCCGTCATCTAAAGGTAACCCTGTGCTGAATCTATGATCGATCGTACTATACACGTCATACGTGTCTCGCCGTGACACCGGAACGACAACGCTCCAACCTTCATCAACCGGGTCTGCAATGTACTACACCTGAGAGGCTTGGGTCGCTAAGATGAAAGGCTCATCCGTGGGCAAGTTCTTGGGGTACATCAAATACTTAAAGTTCACACATTTATATTTGAACTCATCCTCTTTAACGCCCCTCTCCAGATCCACCCAGTCACATTTTAAAAGGAGATACTTCTGTTGATTGCTATAGTACACTTCCACAATGTCCGTAAGAATCCCGTAATATGCCACGGAACCTTCTCGTGGGTTATGGTCCCTAGCTGAGGCATAACTCACTGTATCTGCCGTAACCATAACACCTGCACACTGTGTCCTCTTCCTTGCATCCCGGTCTTGAACACGATAGCGTATTCCTGACACAATGCACGAAGAGTACCGTGTTGCATTGCATAATGGTCCACCCGCCAATGCACGGATCTCCGCTGAGATTGGGCACTCATCATTATTCGTCGGATCATCTACCTACATTTGATGTAAAGTAGTTCATGAACACTCGTGATTTCAATGTTTTTTGGGAGTGTAGTCAAGATACCACGTACGGACGATGTAGGCGGTACTCACATATGATTGAAACCAAGACGCAAATTGTTCGTTGTGCTGCTGGTGCACCTCACGTGGGGGTGCGCGAGTTCGACATGACCTAATAGTATCAAGGTGAATCCTACAGTGCAAAAATAAAAGTCGAAGATATTCAACACAGGTCGGATACGCATACAAGTATTGTTAAATTGATGTGAAAAAACCTTCGCAACGGACTGATTTCATCTATATTTCCTAGGATGTAGCAATGAATTTGGTGCATCGTATTGTAATCAAGATTGAACCTAGAACCAAACAATCCTTTCCCGTGTTGTGTCCCGTCCTCCTCCCCTCGAGCAGCCCGGTTCTCTTTGGTCTCTATGTCTCCGAGATATCTTGAGCAGAAAGTCACGCATTCTTCCATGAGGTATCCACGTGCAATCGAACCCTCAGGTTGTGCCCTGTTCCGTACGTACCTCTTCAGAGTACCCAAGTACCGCTCAATGGGATACATCCACCGGTACTGCACCGGACCGGCCACCATAGCCTCCTCAGCCAAATGGATAGGCAGATGCTCCATTACATCAAAGAATGAAGGTGGGAATAGCTTTTCAAGATGGCATAGCGTCAAAGAAATTCTTTCTTGGATTCGCTCCAGTTCACGAACTGTGTTATGAGCTGAGCACATCGAATTGAAGAAGTTACAAAGTTCAATCAACACGAGCACAACATTTTTGGGAAGACACCTACAGGAAGTGTTGAATCAGCACCTTCAGTTATATTTAGAGGAGGCATATATCATGTTAATTAAAATAATTGCGTTTCAAGGGTATACCGTCGGGCAGCAATAGGTAGAATTCGTTGCATAAGAACATGGCAATCGTGGCTCTTAAGTCCCCATATTAGTTGTTGTTCTACCTTCACACGATGCGATAAGTTTGAACTGAACCCATGAGGTGGTCGGAGGTCCTTCAACACAGATAGGAATATCCGTTTTTCGGGGTTACTCATGGTGTACGTAGCTGCCGGCAAATATATAGCGCCCCTAGGACCCGATACCGGGTGTAAAGAACTACGTATTTGCATCAACTGTAAGTCTTTCCTCGTGTTCAGATTGTCCTTTGTTTTCCCCTTAGTTCCCAACAATGTATACAGTACATTCTCACACACATTCTTTTCAATGTGCATCAAGTCGAGGTTGTGACGTACCTCATTCTCAGACCAATAAGGGAGCTGAAAGAATATGCTCTTTTTTTTCCACACCTGTTGCTGCCCGTCCACCCCCCGGCGACGCTTGCGAGACCCCTGTGCAATGCGTTTCTCAATCAAGTCAACCGTACGATACTCAGTAGGCATATCTTGAAGCTGCTGCAGAAGTTCAGCGCCGGTCAAGCGAGAAGGCTTTCCGTCAAAGCTCATCGAACCGTCAAATGCATGTTTATCAAAGCGCATTCTATGCCCAGCCGGCAGGAACCGTCGATGCCCGCAATAGCTATACTTATGTCCATTTTTCAGGTATCTGGAATGAGTTTTTAAACCACAAACAGGGCATGCATTCGCCCCACGAGTCGGCCACCCTGACAACATACCGTAACCGGGAAAATCACTAATAGTCCACAGCAATGCAGCTCGCATCTGGAAATCCTCCTTAGTACTCGCATCGTACGTCCGAACACCATCATACCAAAGCTCCTTAAGCTCATCGATCAAAGGTTGAAGGAAGACATCAATCCGATCCCCCGGGCCATGCGGGCCGTCTATAATCGTAGAGAGGATGAACGATGGTTGCTTCATGCACAGCCACGGAGGTAGGTTATATATCACAAGTACGACGGGCCAAATACTATAACTCACACTCATATTCCCAAAAGGGTTGAAACCGTCAGTGGCCAGACCGAGGCGTACGTTGCGAATCTCCTCAGAGAACGTCGGGTACCGATGATCGAAACTCTTCCACGCAGGACTATCTGCTGGATGACGCATCTTGCCATCGTCTACACGCCCTTCGGCATGCCATCTCATAGAAGATGCAGTTTTGGAAGATACGTACCATCGCTACAATCGCGGAATTAATGGAAAGTACCTTAACTTCTTCACTGGAGATCTATCTTTACCCTGTGTAAATCGCTTTTCCCCACACACAACACAAACCTCACGGTCAACATCTTCCCCGGTAAACAACATGCAATTGTTGATGCACGCATGGATAGTCTTGCATGTGAACCCCAAGTCCTTGGTCAGCTTATTAGCCTCATAGAAGTTCTTCGGAAGGACAACATCGTCTGGAAGTGCATCCCGTAACAGCTCTAACAGCAAATCAATAGAATTATTAGACCAGTGGCACAAAACCTTCAAGTGCAAAAGCCGTGCGATAAACGAGAGTCTACTCATCTTCTTGCACCCTGGTATGAGCTCTTTCTCTACATCTTCTAACATCTTTCTATACCCCTTACTGCCATGATGTATATGTTCATTTTCGTCATCCCTATGAGGTTCATTTCCACTGGGCCCCGGATCGGTGTGCTCTGTATATGCACACTCTCGCAATAGAAGTTCTAGTTCCTCCTCCCAACGCATTGGCATATTGTCGTTTGCAACAGCAGGGTTCACCTCTCCTTCTCCGTGGCAAGTCCAAACCTTGTAGGTTTGGTCGAATCCATAACGAATACAATGGAGCAAGACATCTCTACGAGATTTTGTTAAGCGATTTCCGCAAGATGTACAGGGGCAATAGATGCAAGATTCAGAGCTACGATCTTTAAATGCGAAATCTAAGAAAGCCCTGACCCCGTCCAAATATTGAGCGGAGATATGGTTCGCATCGTCTATCCAACTCCTATCCATCTAGCAATATAATATACATGCGATTCCATCAACAAAACATGCAACCAAAAACATATAAGTACAACATAACCTTCACCGATATAATAGGAAACATGGATGCTCTTCATGACGCTAGCATTATAATTTATCACAACATTAAGGCACATGGACCAAAATCAGCAGCCCTCACCACTTAAAAATCTTCCATAGATGCAATGTAAATAGTATTATATGGATATATTTCCCGTCACAAATGCTGGGCCGTCACAAATAGACACATCAGCAGCAAGAGAGAGTGAGAAAGAAGTGAAAAAGTTTCTGAAATTGACAAGACATGGGGAGCATGGGGGGGACATCCGTGTGTATGCTGCAACCACTATATCTATCTATCTATCTATCTATATGGGACTGGAAGATGGAGATTGAGATGGAAGACGTGTACTATAAGAATTTTGAGATAGATATACATATATATATATATATAGAGGTACAGAAATGGCTCTCTACCCCAATTAGAGGGATACAAATAGGAATAGTACACAGCACCAAAGCCACAAGATTCACTGTATCTGTTTCCACCAAAACTGCATTTGCATCATCTTCTTCTCACATTACTACTCTCGCCCTCATCCTTTACTCTCTACTCTCTACTCCCTACTCTCAATGCAAAGTGTAAATAAGCCCTGGATTTTATCCTTAATTTATAGAAATGCTATAATGAATATATGTATGGGTGACTGTATGTGTATACGCATACTACAAATGCAGGATAACGAAATCTGATAGTAAATTACCTACGATCAGAAAACTGAACTGCAATTCAAGAAGCATGCAACTTGAGGTATTTCGCAATTCATAAATCTTGTTAAATGCTTCCCAACAGCCGAATTAAGTTTCCTGACGTAATGTATTACTTTGTATTCTGAACAAATTAGCAAGAGGATTGAGCTAATATGTTTTAATCTAACATTTAAGCTACCAGAACAAAGAAATACCTCATAAATTTAACATACAGTAAAGCATTGCACTTGGTGTTTAACTATAAATTAAAGATAAATATCAAAAAAATAAATTCAACCAAAAAAACTCTCCTTCTGGACAAAGGAATACAAATTCACCTCAAATGTAACACACGATAAAGCCCAAACAAATGGAGTTAAAATGTAAGACTATATCCATACCGAGAAAGAGGCGAAGAACTTTGGAGTAATACCAAATCTTTCGGGAGAAAACTTAAAAATCTTACCTAGATGCCGGAGTAGATCCCTCGTTTCCGTTGATTTCACAATGCTCGTCGTCCTGCAGGTTCAGAGGAAGGAAACTCGATCGAGTTTTCTACAAGGGAGAAATGAGATTATGCCCTAATTTGTCGAAGATACCTCGCGTAATACAAAATCTTTTTCGAGCTACCTTCAAAACCTTACCTGGGTGAGGTGCGCCGGAGTAGATCCCAGGGACGGATCGATTTCACCTCGCGCGTCGTCGTCGGCAGCTACAGGAAATCGGATCGCGGACGACTGTGAGAAGCGAACGAGGGAAATGAACCAGATGCCCTAATTTGTCTAAGTGTGGGATGATATAGCGTTTTTGTCCATTTTGATCGTTTCTGGAATGAAAGCGTCAATCCAGTATTTTACTTTTTTTTTTTTTTTTTTTAATTTAACTTTTCCAAAAATAAAAAATTAAATACCAGTAGTTACGAACACTTTACGTAACTAATGTTATTTTGACCAAATTCTACCATCTCATTATTTGTTACGATATTTTTTGCGTAACGACAGAACCTAAAACGTTGACCGGGTTTTTTTTTTTTCGTCACGGATTTTGTCGTAACTAATATATCTATTTGTTACGATTTTATTGTTACGGACTCTCAACCCGTGGTGAATAGCCCTTTTTTTGGTAGTGTTGTCTTGTTATTGTGTTTGTATTTGTGTTTTATATTTATATTTGTGTTTAAATAGTATTTTTTTTTATTTATTTAAGTTTATGTTTAGTTTTATTTTTGAAATGTTTTTAAATAAATCTAAGTATTTTTTTTCTGTATGGAAAATAAAAATTAACATTATTATTCACTTATATATTAAAATTTGTGTCAAAAGTATAATTTTTTATAATAAAAAGGTAATTGGTTATAATATTTTATGAAATAATATATTTTTATAAAAATTATAAAATTATAAAATTGATTGATAAAAAATAAAATGATAAAAATCACTTTACGAGAGAGCCTATATATGTATTTGATCAATGGTGGAGTTAGAAAATAACTTTGGTGGGCCGAAAATTTATTTATGTAAACAATATCTAATAAATTTCAAATTATATAACATAATTAATTTTTTTTAAAAAAAATTACAAACAACCTTTTAGTATATTTTCTCTCAATTTATCTTTTTCAGATACTTTTAAATATTTGGGATGTTTGAGTTAAAAATATGTAATAATAATATTTTTATTAAATATATAAGAATGATAAATTATTTAAATTTAAAACTTATACAAATATTACTGTTGAGCACAAAAAATAATAATTGTTTAGCGCAAAAAAAAAAATAATAATAAGAATGGCAGTAGGGTTTTGGATGGGTCTGAATATAAGCCAAACGGCCCGGAGGTCGGACAGAATAAAAGTCGGGTGTAGAGATCGAGCACGGAGCTCAGGAGTGACAAGATTGGGTGCAAAGTCGAGCACAGAAGTCGGACAGGATAAAGTCGGGCACTGAGATGGCAGACACGGAAGTCAGACGTGATAAAGTCGGGTGCGGAAGTCGGACAGGATAAAGGTCGGGCAAAGAAGAAGTATCGGCAGTCGCGGAGGTCTGTCAAGAGGAAGGTCGGGCGAAGAAGGAGATCATATGGTACGCAGTCGGATAAGCAGGTCAGTTGGTTTGCAGTCAGACCAAAGTAAGTTGGTTGGTTGGCCTGCGGACGGGCCAAGGTAAGACGGTATGGTAGCAGAGTCAAAAGGAAGTCGGTTGGACCAGCCGTCTATCTAAGGAGATAAGGCGACCAGAGGATGCTGTTTCGCGGTCGGTTGATCCACGGTTGGTTGGTTCTCTGTTGGCTGATCCGCGTTTGGTTGGTTCTCAGTCAGTTAAATAGGTCAGATGGTCCAAAGTCAGTTGAGCAGTTCGGGCGGTCCGCAGTCGGTTGAGTCGGACGACACGGAGGTCGGCTGATATGGAGGTCGGATGATGCGGAGTTCGAACCAAGCGAGGTCGGGCAAAGAAGAATGAGACAAACGATACGTGGTCGGACAAGAGACGAGATGGTGGTCGCTTGATGGGACGGCCAAGGAATCGTTTGGTCTAGCGACCAGTTAGTCTCTGGATTGGTCGAGTGGCACAAAGGTCGGGCGAAACAAAGTCGGGCAAGAAGGGACATGGCAGTGGATATACTGGTCGGACGAAAGGCATTTCTGGGACGGTTCAAGTCGTGAGAGGTAGTTCTGGGGCGGTTGGAGGAAGTTGCAACCGGCGAACGGTTGAAGGAAGTTGCAACACGTGTCGACAGAAGAGGATTTTCTGGGCGGTTGACAGCGGTTGCTGTAACTGACCAGACGGGCGGTTCAAACCGTTTCTTTAAAGGATTTTAAATAGGTCTGTTCCTGACCTAAGAAACCATCTCCAATCAACATCAAATTTAAGAGAATTGCTTTTGGGGATCACCAATTTATTTTCCAGTCTTTGTTTTTATTTTCCTATTTTATTTATATATTCTACAGTGTTTAGAGATTCCTAATCCCAGACACTAATTATATCAAATTCGAAGATATTTTCCTATTTTCGGATTTTACTTTTTATTGTTGAAAAAATTGCATCAACAATTTGGCGACCACAGTGGGAGAAAGGCAAGATTGCTGATCCTACGTCAAGAGATTTCATACGATTGAGATCCGGCCGAATCATCAGAAGGAATCATATGGCAGGCTCACAACCTCAATCATCTTCAGCACCGGTGGGAGAAACCATTTCACCACCTGCAACGCCAAATGCAGGGGAAGTTCCCCAAGCACCCGCCGACTGGGTGTCTTATGTTCAACAATTGAACAATCAGTATACTTTGGCTATGCAAAAAATGTTGCGTGAATAAAAAAACATGTTGCGTGAGCAACAAAATTTAATGCAGAACATGTTGGATTAGGCGCTTTCCAAAGTCACACTACATTCGATTACGCCTCCAGCACTGTCTCCTTCTCGCTTTCAGGCAACTTTGCCAGGACCAACGTTTGCAGGGCCATTATATGCTGACAGTATATTTCCAAGTGCCACAACTTTCAACCGAATAGATATAGGAAAGATTCCTCTAACTTTCCCAGATATTGTTCCTTTGGGACCAAAAGTTGATAATACTCAGCCGAATATCGTAAGGGAAGAGGTTAGGGGGACATGATCATAATCCCATCCCAGCCGAGCCAACCGTCCTCAGAGAAGAAAGATTGGGAGATCAGATTCATAATCCCACCCTAGCCGAGCCAGCCTTCGTTAGGGAACAGGTCCATAATCCCATTCCGGTGTTCAACCCTGTTCCACCCAGAATAGATCCGGAGGACATCGCTCAAGTTTTGCGGGTACATTTCGGAATGAATCCGCAAACGGTGAACCGACCGGCGTATCAGAGGCCATTTCCAGAGAGAATAGTCAATGAGCATCCTCTCCCGATGAATTATAGGCCACCGGATTTTCATTCTTTTTCAGGAGAAGATGGAGCCTCGACCATTGAACATGTGGGACGGTTCACGGCTCAATTGGGGGAAGTGGGCAATAATCCGTTTTACAAATTACAGTTGTTCAGATTATCGCTTACAAGAACCGTTTTTTCCTGGTTTGTTAATCTTCCGCCAGGACGGTTGCGAACCTGGGAAGGCTTCGAGGCAGCGTTTCATACGACATTTTTTAACCCTCTCCCGACTGTATCACTCACAGATCTCTTGGAGATCCGACAGATGCCAGACGAGTCTGCTTATCAATTTATAGAGCGGATACGTCTAATGAGGGGACGTTGCCCAACGATCATTGAAGAAAGCGAAATGACCACTTTGGTGGCCAGGAACATGCTCACCAGCCTTCGAGAGGCTTTAACAGCCCACGATGTTCGAGATCTGGCAAGTTTGGCATCCAAGACAGGGAGGTTAGAATCCCTTTTTAAAGAAAATGATCACGACTTCCGTCAAGAGGGAGGTGCTGAAGCAATGCTAGTGCAAGATCGATCAACGTGCAGGCCACCACCAGTCCGCGATAAATGGAGGTCGGGTCCAACGTAGCTTCGGAAGATGGAGGTCGGATCTGAGGCTGATGTAGCCTCGGATGCTGACCTGCGAACTCCTAAACATCACTGGAAGTGACATTTAGGAGTCTTGAGGAGGAGGCTTATTGTTGAGCACAAAAAATAATAATTGTATAGCACATAATAATAATAATAAGAATGGCAGTAGGGTTTTGGATGGGTCTGAATATAAGCCAAATGGCCCGGAGGTCGGACAGAATAAAGGTCGGGCGTAGAGATCGGGCGCGGAGCTCAGGAGTGATAAGATCGGGTGCAAAGTCGAGCACGGAAGTCGGACAGGATAAAGTCGGGCATTGAGACGGCAGACACGGAGGTCAGACGTGATAAAGTCGGGCGCGGAAGTCGGACAGGATAAAGGTCGGGCAAAGAAGAAGTATCGGCAGTCGCGGAGGTCTGTCAAGAGGAAGGTCGGGCGAAGAAAGAGATCATATGGTACGCAGTCGGATAAGCAGGTCAGTTGGTTTGCAGTCTGACCAAAGGAAGTTGGTCGGTTGGTCTGCAGTCCGACCAAAGTAAGTTGGTTGGTTGGCCCACGGACGGGCCAAGGTAAGACGGTATGGTAGCAGAGTCAAAAGGAAGTCAGTTGGTCCAGCCATCCATCTAAGGAGATAAGGCGACCAAAGGATGCTATTTCGCCGTCGGTTGATCCACGGTTGGTTGGTTCTCAGTCGGCTGATCCGCGGTCGGTTGGTTCTCAGTCGGTTAAATAGGTCGGATGGTCCAAAGTCGGTTGAGCAGGTCGGGCGGTCCGCAGTCGGTTGAGTCGGACGACACGGAGGTCGGCTGATATGGAGGTCAGTTGATGCGGAGTTCGGACCAAGTGAGGTCGGACGAAGAAGAATGAGACGGACGATACGTGGTCGGACAAGAGACCAGATGGTGGTCGCTTGATAGGACAGCCAAAGAATCGTTTGGTCTAGCGACCAGTTAGTCTCTGGATTGGTCGGGTGGCACATAGGTCGGGCAAAACGAAGTCGGGCAAGAAGGGACATGGCAGTGGATATGCAGGTTCAAGTCGTGAGAGGTAGTTCTGGGGCGGTTTGAGGAAGTTGCAACCGGCGAACGGTTGAAGGAAGTTGCAACACGTGTCGACAGAAGAGGACTTTCTGGGCGGTTGACAACGGTTGCTGTAACCGACCAGACGGCGGTTCAAACCGTTTCTTTAAAGGGTTTTAAATAGGTCTGTTCCTAACCTAAGAAACCATCTTCAATCGACATCAAATTCAAGAGAATTGCTTTTGGGGATCACCACTTTATTTTCCAGTCTTTGTTTTTATTTTCCTATTTTATTTATGTATTCTACAGTGTTTAAAGATTCCTAGTCTCAGACACTAATTATATCAAATTTGAAGATATTTCCTATTTTCGAATTTTACTTTTTATTGTTGAAAAAATTGCATCAACAATTACATAATAAAAATATAAAATTAAAATAATTAAGGAGGGCCCAACACACTTGGACCCCACTAACTACGCCATTGTACTAATTATCAGCAACTATAGAAAAGACAAACAGATGTTTGCATGATACAAACTTCATGTGATCAAGCATACCATGCAAGTGCAATTTCTTTGCAAAACTAAGGGCAAGAACAAATTAAATAACCCCAATCAGGTTATAACTTTCAGTCGAAGACTTTTGAAATCTACATAACATAAGCCACTTGTTCTCTTTATTAGAGGAGTTGAGCAAAGATAATTTGTGAGTTACATCATTACTCTTTCAATTTGCGCTGGGCAGTAGTGTTGAGGAAAAACGGCACAAAACAATTTCCATGGAGATGATTAGTGTGGGCATCATATAAATATGATGGACAGAAGTATAGCAAAATCACAAGGATAATGTCAAGGAAACTAGCACCACTGTATCGGGTTTGTTTGGTTGCGTGTTGTCGTGTTTTGAAAATAGTAGAATTTTGAATTGAAATGATTGTTTGATGTGATATTTTGAACGAGAAGAAAATAAATGCAATATGTTGAATAAGAATGAAGATTATGACGTGACATTTTTTGAAGAGAGAAATAAGTTAAATTAGATGAATAATGAAAATGTGTGTTTGAAAAGCAACCAAACAAACCTGTTTTGGATAAGAAGGATTGGGACTTAATGGTCCATGGCAACAACAGTAGATTCAGTGTTTGATGGGCTTGAGCTCTAACATTATCTTATTTTTTTAAAACAAAAAATAGAGTAGCAACTCTGACTTTAGAAATTGATATTGAATTATAGATATGAAGCAAGACATGTGAAAAGATAGCAATGATGTGGCAATAAACACAAGCCCAATATTACAATAGTGCATTAAGAAATGAGATTGGCCAACATGACAACACCACAAAAATGTAAAACTTATAAGCAACCAAAAGGGAAGATAAATAAATAAAACAACTCCACTTACGTTAAAAGCGAACTAAATAAATTATAAATAGATCAATCAGACACAACTCCCTGCACCATTCCTCATGGAACTCATCAAGTCATATTTCTATAGGGGAAATAATATTTGCTATGTACAAAAAAGATTTCAACCATGATTCTTTAATTTCCACATGATGGAAAAAGATTTAGCATCTGCCTATCTCAATGTTTCAGTACACATATTTTGTTTTATTCCAATTGTGTAAAAACATAGAAATAAATAAATTAATAACACGAAAAAGCCTCTTTGGTAACAGAAACTTGTCACCTAAACTTCATGATTATATATATGATTTCATTATATCCATTTTTAATGATAATAAGATCATAATAATAGATTGATTAAGTGGAGCTAAATGTGCCAAGTAAAACAAAGAAAGTCATAGGTCATTAAGCTATAAGCATGCGATTGGACCCTAAACGAAAATAGTGTGCTACCATTAGTATTTACATGATACACCCACAAGCTCATTAAATACATACCAAATTCATTGTTCAACTTTACTGAATGCTCCCTAAATTCACTTGAACATAACATGAATGCAATGTGTGAAAACCAAATCATAAAAACACTAAGGGTAAGTTTCTTTAAGGTCTGATTCATCAATTTTCACCTTAAAAACCATAAAATCAAGCACCCATTTTTTCATTTAATACATACACAATAACAATTTCATTGAAAGCAACACGTCAAACACCTATTTATATCACATCAAACACTATTTCAATGATATTTTTACTATTCCCAAGAACCAAACCCAAATCAAACCTTAAAGGAATACACACCCTAAGGATCTATTCTCTGAGTTATTTTTTTAAGTTTTTTTTACTATTCAACTCTCACGATTTTCTATAAAAAATACACTATTTCCTCTTTGGAAAATATCACATTTAAACTGCTATTTAAACCAAAACACAAAACCAAACACACCTAAGAGTGTTTAGATATGTTTTGGAAATGTTTTGGGATTTTGATTTGGTTTGGGAATCTTAAAAAATTGAATAGAGAATGGGTGTTTAGTGTGATATAAATAGATGCTTGATGTGATGTTTAGGAGACACGAGAGAAATTTTATGAAATATTTTAGATAGAAAGATAGATTTTGGATGAGATGTTTTTTAGAGAGATAAATTTTGATGAATAGTACGAAAGCAGTTTTGAAAACATACATAAACAAAGGATAAGTGTACGGCAGAGATTTACTAAATTGCACTCCAGATTCCATACTATAATCAAGGCCACAAACTTTTTGATGTTGATCCAAGAAGATCCTTCTTAGTACATTTAACATCAATGCTCTTATAAGCAGTTGAACTGTCACATGGGGTGTCATCCATTCCATGCTCGCTAGAAGTTTGGTAAAAAGTGTTGTATATATTATCCGGCATTTCAAGCTTTATAAACATAAGCTGTCATGAAAATAAGCTAGTTAGGCCAATATATGCAAGGATAAAATGATGCATTATTACCATTTGCATGACACCTATGACAAGTAGAAGTAAATCAAGCAAAGCATCTTTGAAAAACAAACATGTGCAAGCAAGAAAAAAGTGATTTGCAGAGAGCAACAATAATAAGATTTGATACACCGGAAGTGTCTGAGTATATTTCCTATAAATTCCAGTTCTAGGATTTGGATAGTGATAAATTCGGCAAAGTTGGTCAAGCACAGCAAGATTCAGAGCATCTTGCATGGGTCCACTCCTTATTATTTACTCAAATCCTATGATTTCCTAAGTGCCCTGCCTTCAGAATAAATTCTATAGATGTAAATAACTTCTCTTTATTTCTCCTATGTGGCAAAATATTTGTCACCCTATTAAAATTTTTATTCTACTCTTCTAAAAATAAGTAAAAAAATTAACTTCTTGTTCCATTTTTCGAGGACATTTTATTGTTCAATCTTATGAAAGCAATCCACTTTCTGTATGTATGATTCCAATATGACTATCATCAGAACTTAATCCACCATTAAAATCATGTTAAGAAGCAACTCAATGCTCAGCACTTGGCACTAAAATAACTTCTCATATCAACAGACACTTAACATATTTACAATACATGAATTAAAAATCAAGAAAAAAATGTCATATATATCAGCAAGAACAGTATACTAATTTATGCACAAAAACCTGCTGAAGATAAAAATTTTATCAAAATGTTCGATGTTATGAATCTAATGCCCAAAAAATGAAAAAAATAAAGACTCAAAATCATATACTTACAGCAGCATAGAGCAATCCCACAAACGGATATGTTGTGAACATTTCTTTCACTTTTCTCTTTTTCCTTGTTTCATAAAACTGAAGCATCTTTTCAAGTACCTATTCTGCAAGATTAAGTAATATTTAAAGAGTGAAATAGCACCTTAACATAATCATTTCTCTGGGGAAAAGTGGGGGTGGGGATTTACCAAAATGGAAAAGTAACAAGGATAAAAGAATACAGAGTACAGATATCCATAAAGGTAAAAATGCAAACATGATTGCTAGAGGATGAGCTAACCAATAATGCTCTTGAGTGTCTAATAAGTTCACATGTAACTTGTTGCAATATCCAACTTAACAAAATATCAGCATTTCAAACAAAATGCATGTCAGATAAAAGTTAAAAGACTCTAAAAGTTGCTTCTATTACCTCATCAGCATTGTTCACTTGGCAGGCCTCTTTCCAAGGTGTAACAAACATTCTTAATGACTCTGCAGATATAGAAGGACCACCTAAAACTTCATTGTTAGGGTTCTTATGCGTGGTACTTGCATTGGTGTTATCCCATTTAGACTCCTTCGCCGGAGAAGATCTGCTTGATCTGATCTGCTCATATTTCCTCTTTTTCCCAGGCACATGATCTGAAGTGCGACTTACAGCACCACTATGCCTACGAAGCCTTGAGTCACTATCATTTATCAACCCCAGCCTTTTCTTTTCTTCATTTGTGGATGGATAGGGGCAATTACTTGCACGATCTAATCTATTTGACAGGGGAACACGGCCGATGTCAGTATTGTTCCCAACTTGAGTAGTGTCATATTCAACATCTTAAAAGTTATCATCTTCTTCGGAGGGATCATCATCTGAACTTGAAGCAAATCTTATATGTTTACCAAAAAACTGAGGAGAGGTGAAAGATTTTACTCACTCTGATATTTTAGCAAAATTTTCGTCCATTTCTTTTTTCTGTACATGGATAAGAGGTTTCATGCTGCATTTTACAGATTTTGTTCTCAGTTTCTTAATGCATTTTTCTAACTCTATGCCTTCTGATTTCTTTGCCTTTTTTATATGATTAATATACAGCCTGCACAGAGGTGGTTTCATCGATTCAGTCAAATACAATATAATGACAGAAAACCGTATTCATCATTTGATCTATCACTCAAAAACATTGAAAAAAAAATAAAAAATGCATTGTCATGATAATGTACAAATACTCATCCAGAAAAGGGATAATAATAAAATAAATAGAAGTGTAATAGAATTTAAACAAGAAGAGAAATTTCTAGATGCAACTTGTAATTAAATATTGTTTGTAGGAAGCTGAGGTTCTATGGCATTGGTTTTCCCTGTTACTTGGGCTATCTATAACAAATAGCACATTCAACTTTATCGTTTTTATTTAAATCCCGCAAAAATTCATAAGATCAGATGATTTAGCCTTTTTACTGCAAACTTTGTCAAGTGATATTGATACATATCTATCTATAGAAGATACAAGTCTATTAGGTAAATCAATTTGTCACTTACACCCTACTTGATTTTGTTAAAATTCATTAGCAAAGCAATATATATATAGCTTTAACTTATGTAGGTAGTAAAATAAACCAATTTATGCAGTTTATTTCCCTTCTGATGGAAGAAGCTAGCTTCTCGACTTATTCCATCACTTTCTTGGAGGCTCTGATCCACGTTCTGTAGATCATTTAAACCAACAGCTCAAATAAAAATATTTCATTTCTAAACAATAAAATAAAATAAAATAAAATTATATGATCATAGGAGTAATACACTTAAAAAAACAGCCACTGCATACAAATATCCAAAAAAAGATCGGTTCTATTATTGATTTTCTGTGAATGATTAGTTCAGTTTGCGGTCAACTAATTATGCATACAAAGGCATACAGGATTCTTTAAGTTTATAAGGAAAACTTAAGCACAACTTCATAATCATTATCATATGTGCTGATACTAAATTGCACATCTACAAACCAAAATAAATAAATAGAAGATAGAATTGATTTGCAGAAGTTCAAACACAATATTGACGAACAATCATCATTCAAATGTATTTATGGGGAAATAAGTCACTATTACATTCTTCTAGACAATTATATTGTAGGTAGCACTCAGTAAACAATTTATATCAAAAGCAAGTTATATAGGAGAACAAGCAACAATTTAGCATCATTCAGTGGGCAGTAGCTAGGTTCGAGCCATTATATGTTAGGGCAATTTTGTGTTGCAAATGAAACCCTTTACCATTTTCATGTAAAAAATGTTTGAAATTATTTGTATTAGTAAAAAGTTTCATGTGTTTTATTTTCATAGAAAGACATTTATAAGATACACTTCTTGCTCACAAATATTTTCTGTACCGGGCTTGAATACACTACGGAAACCAGGTGGCATTGCCAACTATGTCAGTAAAATTCCATTGTAAACAATGCATATCATATGACAGGAAAAAAAAAAAACCTTAGTTTATGCTTAAACAGTAATCTGCTTTCAAAACATTGCTCCTACCCTCTAATATTCACATTCAAACGATTCTTTATGAGAAAGGCATTATAGCAACAGATATATGCCAGGATAATACTATTGTCATAGAAAAAACAATAAGCCCAAATATTGATGCAATCATCAGTACTAAGAAAAGAAGAATGGATTTTAACCACTTACCCTTTCTTAGCTCTTCCGACCGCATGCTTTTCTGAAACCCAGTAACCGTTCTATCCTGCAACGTTATTATTTTATCATTTCATAAAGGAATTTCCTAAATTTTGTGAATTGAAAATATAAATAAATAAATAAATAAAAACAGTCTACTCATGATAAGTATATACACCTAAAGGCCTAAACCCACTAGATCTCTTTTGCACAAACAAAAATCAAATTTTTTAAGAGTAAAGTAGTTTATCGATAGAAGTTAATGATCTAATAGTACAGCGAGATAGAAGCATAGGTTATAGAAAAACAACAAAGGTGTGTTCTTTAGAAGTACATTTCCAGACTTTTACTATTCATAAAAGTTTTCTTTCAAAAAGCATTAAATCAAACACTTATTTTTTATTTTTTATATTATAAAAAAAATCAATTTTAAATTCAAAACAAACATCAATACTTATTTATATCACATCATGCAATTATTCCAATTCAAAATTTTTACTATTCAAATCTCAAACCCAAAATGCAAACCCCCAAACAAACGCACCCCAAATATCAATTTCGTCCCCAAGAATACAAACCACATAGAAACTAGAAATATAAAAGATTTAGGCTGCAAGAATATCTCTGCAAGTTGAGCATTCAAGACATTGCCATTTTTAATACTACTGATCTGAAAGAAGTTAGGACACTTGGTTGGATAAAGCAGGTTAAGAAGCAAATATCCATTAATATAAGCGGATGTACATTATTGAATTCTCAAAAAGCATAATTCCAAAAATTGGTTTTACAGATGAATAATATGTTCGAAGTTAGGACCACAGTTTTACCAAAATAGAGAAAACATAAGCTGTTTCTAGCACTTAAGGGTGCACATGGTTGAGATATGTTTTATGAAAAAAAAAAATAGTGCTTGGCAAGTTATGGGCTTGTGCAAACGTTAATAACAAATGGCACACTCACACTCAATGATAAGAGATAAGAAAAACAAAAAACATTACCACACTGTATATCGCTCTTTCATTGCGCCAAAATTCCAATGTCGGCATCAGCAATCTCCCTGAATTTTTGGTGAAGAAGAGAGGGAAGAAACAAATTTCATCAATGTTATCCTTTTTTATATATATATTCTCTCTGGCTGTTAAAGAGCATCAAAATATTAATTGATGGAAGTAAGATAATATTAAAGAGCTTAAAAGGAATTTACATACCTGATCTGGATCTGGTACAACTCATTAGCCTACTTGAAGAAGCAGGCCCAGTTTGTTCATGTCCTATGTCAGGAGTTTTCTTAACCAGATGAGGAGAGAGAGAGGTAAAATACATTAGTCATATAATCCATCATTCTAAGTGCTTTATAAATCTTTCAATTGAAAAAATCATGCCTTTTTCAAGGTATTTGTAGGTAAATCCTGAATGGTAAGATAATATTACTGGAGTTTATTCATGTACTGTAATATTTAAAATTCTCAAGACAGGTGATATAGGTAACAGATCTTGATGGGGTGCAGTGCCCACTGCTCAAACACATTAATTCTGAAGGATGATTACTTAATATATGCTTTCCACTGGCAAATCCATACTGACACAACCGGCAACATGGAACTTACAAGGTGACATGATCTTCTTATCCAAATCTTTCCACTAGGTTTCGTTGCATAGCCAACAGCTCGCAACTTAAAGCACTTCGTTCCATGGATATCAATAAACAGTCCTATATGTTGCCTATATAATGGTTATATATCATCGTACAACCACTAAATTAGTTAAAATGTCAATTTGAGGAAAAAACTTTATTAGTGGGAACTCGAAGTCATTACAAGTATGAATAAGGGAAAAACTCCACGAAAGAAAGATTTATGAACTCCAGTTCGATTCCGGCATGCTACACTTTTTAGTTATTGGGAGAACCTGAGTGCGAATTGGGTTAACTACTTAACCGAGGGCAATAGTTTGCACGCTAGGCCATCTAGGCTCGATCAAGAACGCGTCGGCAGAAGATCTTGAACCCCATACCCTTGCGATTATAAGTTCACCCACCACACTATATCGGTCACCCCCGGAGCAAGTTCAATGTATTCTTTTTTTTTTTTTGTAACTCAGAAGTCACTATATTCTCGATTGTATATATTGATGCCTTGTATCACAAACTTTTCTTTCTTCCAAGTAAGTGGCTTAAGGCTAACTTCTAGCATGATGCATGTTAAAGAGTAAAGGGTATTGTCATGATTTTAAAATTGCAAGGGAATAGTGCAATAAAGATACCACTGAAAAGTGTACTCACATATTCTCTTCTTTTAGTCTTAGCCCCCGATGCTCCAGCACTCTCCGACAAAATACTTGCATCAGCATCTACTGTCTGCTTGTAAGTATCCGTGAGAATATTTAATGCAGATCGGTAGAAAATGAGCAGATTTAGTCAATCTATCAACAATTACCCAAACTGAATCATAACTCTTGACTATCTTGGGAAACCCTGTAACAAAATCCATTGTAATATTCTCTCATTTCCACTCTGGAATAAACAAGGGCTGTAAAGTTCCCGCTGGTCTCTGATGTTCTGCTTTGATTTGCTGACAAGTCAAACATTGTTCTACATATCGAGCAATGTCCCTTTTCATACTTGGCCACCAATAATGCAATTTCAAGTCCCTATACATTTTAGTGGCTCCTGGATGTACAGAATAAGGTGTCAAATGTGCTTCAACCATCACATCTTCACAAATTTTATCAGTATCTGGGACATATAACCGTTTCCTGTATCAGAGTACGTCATTCTCTGTCAATTGGAAATCAGAGGGTTCACCTAAAGTGATATCTTTCTTCAGCAGAGTACTCGTCATGTTGTTGTCCTGTGTGAATTCGATCTAGAAATGTCGGTATGAGTGTTAAAGCTGCAAGTTTTGCTGTTACAAGTCCAGGTTCAATAAGTTCGAGGTTCATCCTCTGTAGGTCAAGGAGTTCAGATTTCTGAATTAAAGTCATAGCTGCCACTCTTTCATACTGATTTTTGACTCAATGCGTCTGCCACAACATTAGCTTTACTAGGATGATAGTTGATCACAAAGTCATAATCTTTCACAAGTTCTAACCATCTTCGTTGTCTCATATTCAATTCTTTCTAAGTGAAGAAATATTTTAGACTCTTGTGATCGGTATAGATCTCGAAACATTCACCGTACAAGTAATGTCTCTAGATTTTGAGCGCAAACACCACGGCTGCTTGTACTTTTTCAACTTTCAAGCGGCATAAGCGATCACTTTATCGTTCTACATCAATAAACACCCGAGACCATTCTTTGAAGCATCACTGTAAACTTTAAAACCTCCAGTCCCGATTGGGATTGCTAAGATAGGAGCTGATGTCAATCGTCTATTCAATTCTTGAAAGCTTTGTTCACATGATTTTGTCCATTTATATGTCACATTCTTCCTAGTCAATTGTGTCAAAGGAGAAGCAATTTTAGAGAAGCCTTCCATAAATCTACGGTAATATTCTGCTAGTTCGAGAAAACTACGCACTTCTGATGGATTTGTAGGTTGTGGCCAATTATTAATGGCTTCAACTTTGCTTGGGTCAACTGAAATTCTTGCTCCCGATATCACATGTCCCAAGAATACAACTCGATCTAGCCAGAGTTCACATTTTTGAACTTTGCATACAACTATTTCTCTTTCAAAACTTCTAACCCATTCCTCAGATGCATCACTTGCTCATCTTCAGTCTTGGAATAAATCAAAATATCATCAATAAATACAATGACGAACTTGTCTAGAAAGCCTTTGAACACCCGATTCATCAGATCCATGAACGCTGCTGGGGCATTTGTCAGTATAAATGGCATTACTAGAAATTCATAGTGCCCGTATCTCGTACTGAATGTTGTTTGGGGAATGTCTTTTGCCTTTATCTTCAATTGATGATACCCATACCGCAAATCAATCTTCGAAAAGATAGTCGCACCTTGTAGCTGATCGAACAAATCATCGATTCGGGGTAAAGGATATTTATTCCTGATCGTGATTTTGTTCAATTCTTGGTAATCGATACACATCCTCAACGTGCCGTCTTTCTTCCGAACAAACAAGACTGGTGCTCCCCAAAGTGAGAAACTTGGACGAATGAAATCTTTATCTAGTAGTTCTTGCAGTTGTACTTTCAGTTCTTTCAATTCATTCGGCGCCATTTGATATGGTGATTTAGAAATAGGTGACACTCCAGGTTGTAGCTCAATCACAATTCAATTTCGCGATCTGGTGGTAGCCTTGGAAGATCATCCGGAAATACCTCAGGATATTCTCACACTACTGACACATCACCAACAGTAGGACACTGTTTCCCCTGGACACCCATCACACTTATCAGATAGCCTTCACAAACCCTTTCCAGTAATCTTTGTGCCTTAACAGCTGATATTATAGGAAATTTGAAACGCTTCTTTATCCCGATAAAAGAAAATGGTTCTTCACCCTCGTACTAAAATACAATACTCTTTTTCTGATAGTCGGTTGTAGCACCATATTTTGATAACCAATATACCCAATATCACATCATAATCATTCATGTCCAGAACGATCAAATCAGCATATAATTCTCTACATTCTCTAGGAATAACACATCCTCGCAGGATTTGATTCATTTGTTTTGTATCACCGGAAGGAATCATCACATTGAATTTAGCCTCAGTTACGTTAGGTGTTCTACCTAGTTTTCTCACATACTTAGTGGATGCAAAATAATGTGT